ACAGTTTATTCTTGACTTTGGGAAAATGAGATCTTATAAAATCTTGTCAGTGAAACACAGAAACTAAATGTTAATGTCTGCAGCTGTAAAATAAACTGAGCTAAGACACGTACACATTCAACTGACATTTTTTTTAAATGCAGATGCAGCTGCTTCAGTCCATGACTGGCAGTGCTTGATGAAAGATAAAAGACGAAAGTGTTGCTAATCAGAAACTTTCCAGATTGTGTTGAATGGTGGATCAAATTCTGGTGGCACATTTCTGCATTCATAATTTCTTCATTTTGACAGGATATCCAACACCACACTGCCTGAAAGGCAGCTCTGAAACATGACAGAGCCTATACCGTGTTTTACAGATGGCTGTAGACACTGTTGTACCTCTCTGCTGACCTCCTCTATAGAGTCACGTGCATCTTGAAGCAATGTGGGCTTCGACCACAGCTGGAGTTTCTGCCAGGAGCTGAAGTGGGAATGCACATCCAGATAAAACACACTTCTAACCAAAAAGTATCTGGATCAAATATAGTTTGGTGTTTATGGTAAATGGACTGGTTCTTATATAACGCTTTTATACTCTTATGAGCACTCAAAGCGCTTTGTACAACTTGTGCATTCACCCATACACACAAGCACATTTTTATTTAGTGCTTTCTAACTAACATTCACACACATGCATACTCCGATGGATGCATCGGAGAGCAATTTGGGGTTAGTGTCTTGCCCAAGGATTTTTGGCATGCAGACTTGGGAAAGTCAGGGATCGAACCATCAACTTTCCAATGAGTACATGACCTGTTCTACCGCCTGAGCAACAGCTACCCCAAATTTAGTTGTTTAGTTATATTTGTGTAAGCTAAGTAGATTTTTCACACTATAATAAAGTATTTGTCTGTGAGCCTTTTGTTTCTACCACCAGGTAACAGCTTTTCCCAGGAAGCTTCATTCTAAAATTAGGAATTATGGACCTTTGAGGAAAAACCATTGCACTGTATTTTCCAACAAAAGCTCAAGAACTGGTTTTAAAGCTCTCTCTTAGCTAAGATTACATTTTGATAAAAAGCCTCAAACTGTTAAATGCAAACTGAATTTCCCCTTGTGAAAACACCGTGTAACAGTATCTATAATTTCTTTTCAGACTTGGAGCAGGATGGCTTTTCCAAGAACCCGTTCTTTCACGGGATCATCGCTGAGGTGCCAGAACAGCACAAAACCAAAGAAGGTGATCATGTTACGCCCAGTTTTCTCACACACTGTTGCGATCTACTGTCTAACAGCTGTAACAAACTTAGAACTGGTGGTTGAGTGTTTAAAAAAACATATGAACCCATATGTGACAAAACCCTTAGAGTAAGTGAAAATAACCGACAGAGTGGGCGA